TGCTGTAGCAAATCATGGCTCCGAGAACAACCATGAAGTTGACTCGACAATATACCGGATGTTTGAAAATGGAACAGTGTTGCATTTTCAGGATATTTCCACTCAAGGAGGGTCGGATGTGAAGTTCTTTAGACCTCAGGGGAGTGGTGATTCGTATCTAATCTTTGCGAACATGAAGGACAATTCTGGTAATACTGCTGTGCTCTCGAAGGTGGGTGTATTTTATTATTGTGTTGTGTTGTGTTGTGCGCCAGGTGCTGCCAGGTTGTAGTTGTGTTGTGTTGTGTTGTGTTGTAGCTGTGTTGTGCTGTGTTGTGTCATGTTGTGTCATGTCGTAGTTAGGTTGTGGGGTTGTGTTGTGTTGTGTTGTGTTGTGTGGTGTTGTGTTGTGTTGTGTTGCATTTGATTGCCTTGCATTAATTGGATTGGATTGTTTTGTGTCTTATTGTATTCTATTGCATTCGTTTCTATGGGATTTATTGTATTTTTTAATATAACGTTTTGTAGGTTTACAAATGGGTTAATGGTCGTTTTGTGGAGCACGGACCAGGCCTAAACTGCCGGGGAGCTTCAGGCCTTGCCTTATTCAGAGTAAATAATCGTAACTTCCTCGCGATCTCTAGCTACTATGACAGTGTTAACCGCAACTACCAAAGCAAATCTGTCACTTTTGAATGGAGGAATGATCAGTTTGTACTTCTGTCAGAAATCACTACGAATGGCGCTACTGGGGTAGAATACTTCATGTTAGATGGAGATCATATTCTGCTGTTTGTGAACTCTCGTTCGTCCCCTGGTCTGTATAAATGGAATGCTGGGACGTTCGTCTTGCATCAAGATGTGCCCATCACTAATGCGAAATCTGTGAAAGAGTTCTTACTGAACAACGAAGGTGTGTTTTGATTGTGTATCATAAACAATAAAGCACATTTAAGCAGTCATTTTGTACGAATCAGTGAGGTCGTAGCTACGGGAGAAATGAAGGGTCCGGACCTCCCTCCCCCACTTTCTTCAGCACCAATTTTGTAATTCTTTTAAAACTGAGGAGAAGCTGGGGAGGGGGCCGGAGTAACCTCTTAATGCTGTCATCTATGACATAAAATATACCAAATCTGTGGTTGTCACCCCCCCCCCCCGACCCCATTTGTGTGGGACTGGATACGCCCCTGGAATCAGAATTTACAAAGATATTCAACGTGACAGCAGATTGTAATGTATGTTTTTATCATGTTCTTAGCTTTCTTGGTCAGTACTACATCAGAAGGTAGCTCGCACCTTTGGAAATGGGATAGGAACACATCAAACTTCCAGTTTTACACGGTAAGTTGAGATTTCCTTTCAAAACAAATGTATCAGCCCCTACTCGTATATTGTACAACATCAGATAAGTACAACATCAGATAGGACAGCTGTGCATGATCTTATCAAGCTTCGCTCAGCGGTCTTTATATATCAAATCGATATATGGCTTTTTACCTTGATGAAGTATCAGCAATCTGTAAAATATTTCTATTGTATATTTAGAACGTAACTGAATATGGCGCTCAAGACATTCAACCAATCACAATTCAAGATTCTGTCAATCATAATCTCACATTATTGGCTGTTGCCATGGAAACAACAAGTGAATCACGTTTTCTTCAACTTGCCATGGTTTCCGCACAAGCTGATTTCATCCCAAGGTTTGTTTGTCGTAAACTTTATTCGTTTAATAAATCAACTTTATTTATACTGGATAGTTCTATCAGTTCACTTTTGTGGGGGATCATCTCTTGTTGGTTGATTACTTGGTTCGGTGTCTGGAGTGCCAGCAGATAATTTGTGGAGTTTAGTAGAATCACGGTTAATAGAAGGAGACTCCTTCTATTAACCGTGGTAGAATCAAACTGGAAGCACTCTTCTCATACGTGACTGAGGCCAAATTATAATCGCACAACTCCTTATTACAGGAATAAAACCCCAGTCACAGACACATACACTAACCACTATGATCTATTAGTATAATTTCAGTATTCATGGCCAGAAATTACGGACATAATTTATTCTACTTCCTTACTAATTTGCATATCACTTTGAAATATGGCTCCAACAGTATATATTAGATCGCACAACGCGATATTGTAAACGCAAAATCGGAGAGTATGGTAGATCCTTTGCAATTTGCCGCAATCGCTGGTTACAAAACAAAGTCCGTCGAAGAATTTAGTGTAATATTAGCCTGATTTAAGTTACTACCATTCCTGCTTTTTCTATATTGGTACAGAGGTTAATTTTTAACTGCATTTGTCTATTTAACTCTATATAAAAATACTGCGCTAGGAATAAACTAAAAAGCAGGAAAAACAGCAACTTAAACTAGGCCAAAATTACACTAGGTACATCGACAAACTTTGATTTAGCACCAGCGATTTCGGCAAGTTGCAAACGGTCTACCATATTCTTAGATTTTGCGATTTACCTCATCGCATTGTACAATCTGCTGTTTACAGTTAAAGCCATATTTCAAAATAATATGTAAATTTTTATGGAATTAGAATAAATTATGTCCGGGATTTCTGGCCATGGAAAAATGGCCTGAAATGATTGGCTCCCTCGGCAGTAACTCTGATGCAATAGTTACTACTCAACTGCTCGCTCTCTCTCCAAGAAAATGGCTGAAAATCTGACGGAAGTAAATTATTTATGCAAATTATGTTCATAAAATAAACACGTTTATTAGTTGTATTTATAAATATAACTTTTTCAATACTGAAATTATACTAAAACAATTAGTCGCCTCAGGCTCGGTGATTACAAGCCTATATTCACTTCGCCTTCGGCTCAGTGAATACAGGCTTGTAATAACCTCTCCTTCGGCGACTAATTGTTAAATATCCCTAATTCGATTCATATTTAACGTTACACATTATTAATGTATTCTACAGAAATGGTCAACTCATATTTAATAATGGAGACACAGAACTGAGTTTCTATGTCACAATTTTTAACGACTCAATTTCCGAGCCTGACGAGACCTTCACGGTTGCCCTTAGCAACGCTACAGGCGGCTCTGTGATTGGTCCAAACGGTAACTTAGAGGTGAACATTTTATCCAATGGGAATCCGTATGGCCGTATTGAGTTTGCAATGGCGTCTGCGTATATAGTCGTTGAGGAAAGATCACGTGATTGGGTGTTACATTTAGAAGTATTGCGGGAACAAGGGAATTATGGGGAGGTTATCGTGGCATGGAACAGTACTGGTAACGCTTCTGAGAGTGGTAGTCATGGTGATGATGACGTATATCCTGCCTCAGGCGAGATCGTATTCATGGAGGGCGAGACACGAAAGACAATCAATCTTACGATTGTTGCCGATGATGTTCCGGAGGTTAACGAAGTTTTTCAAGTGAGGTAGGTGGTAGGAATAGGCCTGCTCGATTAACACGTATTTACGTCCATTGCCATTCGATGGATCTTTAACTTATAACTAAAATTTTGATCCAGACAAGTCTAGACAAAAATTTCATCACAGCTTGAAAGAGCATCACAAAATTAGTAATATTCCAAAGTTTCGTTGCGAAATGTTGTAAAATGCGGATAATATAGCCTTGCGAAGTTTGCCGTTTTTCAGTCATTTTGTATTACGCATGGGGAATTGACAGCCTAATCGGGTGTTGGAGTATCAGTTTTCAGGGACGACGGCCTCTTTTTAGAGCACCTGCCAAGAATTACATGGCGGACTGAAAAATCCCTCACGTTAAATGACCTGAAGTGAGACTTCTGTATGTACTTTGTGACAACGGTTCGGTGTTTTGAAAATATATTTTGTTTCATTTCAGCTTGACCTCCTTAATAAAAGATGGTTCAAACCTTCCTAATCAAGGAGCGACAATCAACTCAGCACAGTCTACATCAACTGTTATCATACGGGCCAATGATGAGCCCCATGGCATTGTGGGATGGCAACGGACCATCGTTCTTGCACAAGAATCCGAAGCAACTAACAGTTCGGTACAGCTGGTAATTGAGAGACAGCTAGGATCAATTGGTGATATCAAGGTGTTATATAGTACAGTTGGGGCTAAAACAAATGGTTCGGTGAACGAAAGGCCGGCGGTGCCAAACCAGGATTTTATACCAGTGTCCAGTGAAATTTTAATGGCGGATGGTGTGAATGTGACGAATATTTCAATTCATGTTATTCATGTAAGTTCTGAGAAAATTTATAATGCAAAGCTTATATCCCCGTTTACACTATACCGGATTAAATTTTACAGTATACCGGATTAATTTTCACTCCGAAGTAAAAAAACAAAGGTGTTTACACTGTGCCGCTTCGCTCTGTTGCCAGTTCATGTCTCTCACTGTCGCCATGGAAACAAGTAACCAATATCAGGGCCTTTTTTAACATACAAGCTGGGGGGGGGCATTTGCCCCCCCCAGTCCCCCCTTGTGCCCCCACGAAATCACATTTGCTCCCCCCAGGAAAAGTCCCTTTTTCCTATAATTATACAAACAATCCAGCGAAGATTAACAAATAGATAAACGGAAAGTAAGTTTTAGGCTTTATCCTTTATTCTTGTTTAACAAAATCGATTTAAATTGTTACTTTTTTTACCACTAAGTAATGATAAATTATTGTTAATATTTTTCTTTTTTTCGGATGCTCAGAATGCAGGAAATAGCATTTCACGGTTTCAAATTTCAAAAATTATCTTGGGATTATCCCAGCTCTAATAAGTAATGATAAATGACATTTAATATTCTTTTTTACTTTTTGTGCATTTTTCCATCTTTTATTTCAAATACAAATATAGTTAGCATAAATTTTAGAGCAAATTTGGATGCTCAGAATGCAGGAAATGGCATTTCCGTGGTTCAAATTTCAAAAATTGTCTGGGGGAGTACACCCCCACACACCTGACCATTGCTATCCTCCTCTAATAAGTAATGATAAATGATGGTTAAATTTTTTTTACTTTTTGTGCGTTTATTCCTTTATTTATTTCAAATACAAGTATAGTTAGGATAAATTTTGGAGCAAATTTGGATGCTCAGAATGCAGGAAATGACATTTCAGGGAGTCAAATTTCAAAAATTTTCCGGGAGAGTACACCCCCAGACCCCCCATTCATATGTGGTATATTTGCCACACACGTGGCTTTCAGCCATTGCTATCCCCCTCTAATATATTATCTCGCAGAAAGGTCCCTTTTCAAAAAATGCCCCCCCCCCCCACGGGAAAATCCTTAAAAAAGGCCCTGACCAATATACCAAAATTTATCAAGAACAAGAACTAACACACGTTTTCTTTGTAAAGTATAACTTTGTTTAAAAAGCTTGACCACCAGACGTTGCTTCGTTTCGCTCTAATCCAAAGTATTTCCTTAAATTTTGCTCTTTCGAAAGCGAAAAGTCAATGTTATTATCGTTTTCTTTATTTGTCTTCGCCAGAAATAGTAAATGGTTTTAAGGCGAAACAAAGAACAGCTATAAAGTGTTGTAAAAGCGAGCAAATAAAGGCGACAATGTTAAAACATACACGCCAAAAGCCAGCACATCCAGCACATACCGGATTACTTTCCATATCACCTCCAAAGCGGAGTGATTTTTGCTCCGCGTCGCGTACCGGCCGAAGCCGGTTTTCCACTTCAAGCGTACCATACCGAAACGTATCAAAAACGTTTTTAAATTTCAAAATTTCGTGGAGGTTGATTGGTCAGTACTTCTGTAGTAGGACAAAAAGTTGACTTGCGACGAACTTATTATTTTGATACGCGAATACACCCGGAAGTACGTGTTTTATAAACCTCTTTTCAGTCTGCGCATGCTCACCAGTACGTTTCGGTACGATACGGGCGAAGTGGAAAACCGGCTTTATTGTGACGTATAGTGTAAATAGCAGCCGAATCCGGTATATGAAAATCGCTGCCTACAAAGACGCGATTAATACTAGACATGTGATCCGTCTAGACGAGCTTGGACAAAGAAAGATAGTTTGTCTGATAATTTGTCTGTTTTAAGAGCGGCAAACAGACGGATCATTTGTCACGACAAGCTATATGCGTAGGTTCTTCTTCTCAGAATAACTTGTATACCTACTTCGGATGGTGACGAATTATCTTCCCATATATATAAAACACACCATTAGAAAAATTGGGAATGTATCAGGTATGAATTGTTTCAACAATCATGCTAATATAGATTGCTCTATTCCAGCTATTTCGTCTGGGTTATTCAGTGGCGTGCTGGCCGGGGGGGGGGGGGGCCCCCCCCCCC